CTGTCTTCCTCACTAGAATGTATGCTCCATGAGGGTAGGACTTTTGTCTCTTTTGTTCACTTGCTGTAATCCATCTCCTGGCATACATGTAATGGGCATTCAGAGGACATCTGTGTGTAGGAAGAAAATGGGAAGCACGACCATCCCTGAGCCCAGCACATTTCTTTGGGGGGTGGATGCTGCTGCTATGTCCATATGCACCTGCCCTGTTCAGCTGGCATGGCCCCTCACGTCCCTCACCCCACCACTGATGCTCTGTAAATGTACTAGTGACTGAGTGATGTCACCATAATGCATTTTGGGAGTAGCCGTGTAGTTTATGCACACTTGAGTTGCTTTGAATGCAAACCTGACATCATACTGAAGGCAGCAGCGAACAACATATGCACAGTAAACAGGCAGAGACCGTCTTATTGATTAACAGATGAGACCTCTACTATCGATCAAAGCTGGGCGAGAAAATTTATCACTTTTAATTTCAGGCCTGCCAAATATTTCTGTCTCTGAGCCAGCCATTACAGAGACAATTTAAAGGCACAAGCCTCCTCCAGAGGGAAGATTTTGTTCATCTCTCTCGTCTTCATGGAACTACCTGTCTTTGCGGTTCGGCTCACCCTGAAGAGTTGGCGGGGGGAGGGGGAGGGGAAGGAGTCTGAGTCTGTCTGGGTGAGAGTGGGGGGTATATTGGAGCTCCATGAAGGGGGCCAGTGGTGGGAGCCAGTGTCTATGCATAATGAGGGTTCTGACCCAGTCACTCAGGAGAGGGGACTTTCATGTCCTCGGCTCAGTTTCGTGACTTCAGCAGTGTGGGGGTAGTACAGGGATGGCTTTGAAGGCAACCAGTTGTGGTCAGGCTTGAACCAAGCCAGCACCCTTTGCTAGATCTTTTGTGCTGATGTGTTTTTATCTTCTTCTGAACGTGTCTGATGATACACATCCTGCCCCTTACTTCCTACCTGCCCCCTTCCTTTCTCTCTGCCTCTCCATCATTAAAGCAAGAAGCTACTCCAGCCCGCACTGGTGGCTGTTTTCTAAGAACCCTCTGCCCCACATCCCTTTGAAGCTGGCAGTACTATCAGGCCTTGCACTTGATTGCAGCGCTGGGGCTCATTGGTCGGCCCACAGGGTGCCCCTCTTCCCCGTCAAGCGCCCTCCCTCCATCTTCTACGTTAGGGAGCTGTGAGAACTGATATAATCAAAGAGAGAAATACAGTTAAAATCAGATCCCTCACAGTTCTGCAGAACAGCATTGATGGCTAATGACTGGGGGCTGGGGGCAGGAATGGGTTCTAATTGTGAGGGAGCTCTGGCTTCTTCCAGCCCCCGTTTTACCGCTCTAGCCAGCTCTGCTCTTTGTGGTATTGCGGGTGTTTCCGGTGTAAGTTGATGAAAATGGTCCTGGCTGCCCCCTCTGTGAACACATGTTGTGACTGCTTTGTCACCACCCATTAATGGAAGGTTTTCTTGGTCCTTTCGTAGAAATTCAGCAAGCCACATACCAGGTGCTTGGCTCAAGGGTGCCCTGCAGCTTGAAGAGATGCCAAGAGGTCATCATGGTCCCCTCCCTGCTTCCAGACTGAACTCAACTCAATCTACCTGAAACCAAATGACAATATTTATTTTTAAAGCTCTTCAGGAGAAGAGATTTCATTTCTTCCCTGGGACACTTTCTCACTCATTTGTTCAGTCATTCTACAAATACTTACCGTGCACCTACTAGAGAGCATATCCTCCTTGCCGTTGCAAATGTTGGAGCCAGTGAGCCAGACAAGGTCCATGCCCTCAGGGGACCTCACACTAGCTCCTAGAGCTAGTCCAGGGTCCTAAGACTTCACTGGGCAACAACTGTTTATTGATGTTTAAGTCTGTTCTGGTACAGCTTGTCTTTTGAGTTCTATTCCATGAGTAGGTGCTAATACTCAACGCAGAATTTTTAAACTTTTTAAAAAGCAGTGGAACCGTTTTTTCTAATCAAATTTTGTACAAATCTCTGATGCATAAAATGGGTAAATTGAATTTTCTTTTCTTCAATTGGAGGAGGGGAACCCAGACTCCCGCCTTCTTACCCACAGAACATCTTTGCAGATGGAACCCTAGGGAGGCTGAAGGGTACAGTGATTAAAGAGCAGAGGTTCTGAAGTCAGGCTGTCTGAGCTTGAGTCCATCTCCATTATTACCTGCTCTGTGACTTTGGGCAAGATGCTTAACCTCTCTGAGCTTTAGTTTTCTCTTCTTCTAAATGGGGACAATAATAGTATGTACTTTAAAAGGTTGTTGTTAGGATTAAATGAGATTAATATACAACAAACACTTAGTGTAGTGCCCACTATACAGTAAAGCTTAAGGAATTCTGGGGTGGTTGAAAAACAGTGCTAGGGGTTACAAATATGTGGAAGAAGTAGTTCTGGCTCTTACGAAGCTCTAAGGCAAAACCAAAACACTGACACACTTAGAGAAGTGCTATGTCATGTTGGAAGAACCAAGTACAGTAGCAAATTGGAAAGGGCAGAGCAGTGAGGAGCTGGAGTACTTGATGTAGGCATACCCTGGGTCTTGAAAATGGAATGGGATTAGGATAGACAGAGGAATGGGAGCTGGGCATTGTTCAAGCACAGAGACTTGGAGACAGTCGAGCAGGGCCTGGAGAGGGCTGGTGAGTACTCCTACCTGTGGGATTGGATGGCTAAGTGGGTCAGCCTATGGAAGACCTTGAAGCCAAGTAGAAGAATTCAGGATTGATATAAATAGTGAGCCATTGGATTGTCTTGAGTAAGGAAGTTTGAGGAAACAAGAGGCCTTCACTGAACCTACCTCTGATGAAATGATCAGAGGGCGCTGGTGGGTGGAAACCATCCTTGAATCTTAGAGTGTTGCAGGCATGGCATAACGAGGGCCTGGGTCATGGCAGTGATTATCAAAATGCACAAGAAGACATACATCTGGAAGACATCTTGAAGAATAAGTGTGAAGGCTTGCGGCAGGTGACTCCTGGATGAGATAACACCTGAGAACCTTGAACATTTTTAGCAAGTGGTCAAAAGTCCTGTTTCATCTTTGACATGATGACGTTGTTGCTTTGAGCCTTGTAAATAGTGGTGCTATAAAGCTTATTAAATTGAATTGTACTGAGTTTACTGTCTTTATTCCACAACTAGGTACAGTAATAGTTTCCCACTATGTGGCAGGCTGGGGGGAAGCAGCTGTACACAAGATGAAAGGTCCCTCCCTCAGGGAGCTGACAGTCTGGTAGGAGATAGAGACAGGTCCCCAGGCCTTTTTAATGGACCGTGTGGCGAGGGCTTTGATCTGGGACACACAGGGTGCTATGGGTACACAAAGAAGGATTACCTAACCCAGACACAGGGGCAGGGCAGTCTTCTTGGAGGAAGAGGAATCAAAGTTGATGCCTAAGTGATCAATCGGAGCTGCTGCACTATGGGAATGAAGCATTGAAGGTTCAGCGGTAGAATTCTCGCCTTCCATGCAGGAGACCTGGTTTCATTTCCCAGCCAGTGCACCTCATGAGCAGCCACCACCCATCTGTCAGTGGAGACTTGTGTGTTGCTATGATGCTGAACAGGTTTCGGTGGAGCTTCCAGGCTAAGATGGACTAGGAAGAAAGTCCTGGTGATCTACTCCTGAGAAATCAGCCAGTGGAAACTCTATGACTCACAGTGGTCTGAGCCACAACCAGTCACGGGGATGGCACAGTGCCAGGCAGCATGTGTTCCACTGTGCGTGGGGACACTGTGAGTCAGGGCCGACTCGATGGCAACTAACAACAATACCATTGTGGGAGCCAAGGAAGAGAGGAAAGTATTTGAGAGGCAGAGGATTATGTGTACAGAGGCCTAGCAATGAGGAAGCCCAGGGCTCCTCTGGGGAACCAGAGTAATTCAGCATGGCTGACGATTAGGGAGCCAGAGTGAGGAGTGAGAAATGGAGCAGGAAAGATGAGCAGAGGCACATCAAGAAGTGCTTTGTAAGCCGTGGTGAGGAGTTTGGCCTTTATCCTAAAGGCCTGGGGAATCATTGAGGGATTTTAAATGGTCAGATGGAAGAGGTGGTTGGGGTAGACAGTGAGTTTAGTTTCGGACATACGGAGTTAGAGGTCCCTGTGGACATCCAAGTAGCAGAGTCCCTGGGTGGTGCAAATGGTTAAGCAATTGGCTGCCAACTGAAAGATTGGTGGTTTGAATCCATTCAGAGACACCTCGGAAGAAAAGCCTGGTGATCTACTTCTGAAAGGCCACGGCCATTGAAAACCCTATGAAGCACAGTTGTATTCTGAAATACATGAGGTCGCCATGAGTTGGAGTCAACCCAACAGCAACTTTTGTGTGTGTGTGTGTGGACATCCAAGCAGAGGTATCCTTATGTCAGCATTTCCTACTTTCCCATAAAATAAAATTTAGGCAATGGGGCACATTTCCCCTAATTTGTGTCATTTACTCCTTTTCATCCCCCACCTAGAGCTCAAAAAAAACAAACAAAAAAACAAACCCATGGATTCCAACTCATAGCGATCCTATAGGACAGAGTAGAACTGCCCCCATAGGGTTTCCAAGGCTGTAAATCTTTACGGAAGTAGACTGCCACGTCTCTCTCCTGTGGAGTGGCTGGCGGGTTCAAACCGCCGACCTTTTGGTTAGCAGCTGAGCACTTAACCACTGCACCACCAGGGCTCCTCTTACCTGAAGCTAGCCCCTCAGAATCCCCCTTCTTGTGGCATCTCATTCAGACCCCACTTCTGTTTATCTTGGTAGTCCTGATTGTGTTCCTTCTTCTCTCTGGGCGACGGGCGTTTGGAGCTCGGTTGGGTGGTTGATCATGTATTGGAGGAAGGACTGAGGTGGCTGCTGGGCCATGGGTTATCCTGACTCGGGATCTTCACAGGTGTCCAGCCCCCTTCCCCAATGCCTACCTGTCTGATCTTGGCCCCAGAACTCCCCCTCCCAATGGAATATCGCTCTTGTAAGAACTGCCTCCCTTTCTTTCAGCGGGTGCCAAAGCCTTTGTCTGTGACCAATGCGGTGCCCAGTTTTCAAAGGAGGATGCACTGGAGACACACAGGCAGACCCATACCGGTGAGTTGACTTCGATTCCCATTCTCCAGGTTTTCCACAGTGTGACAGTGGATGGATAGGAAGTATCTTGATGTTGCCCTCTTTTAGCCAAGATAACATCCAGTAATCTCCTGGGGGAGGTATAAGTGAAAGAGGCTCTGCCATGTTCAGCTCCTTTTGCCTGTGGGGCTGGCTAGGCAGGAAGAGCGTGACCATTGCCTCATAAGAACAACTGTCCTGGATTTAGGCCAAGGTCTCTGTCTCTAAGAGGCTAATGAGATTCCGTCTTCACAAAGCCTTCTGGTATGCACTTACTAAGACCTTAGGAAGCCCGTGATGTTACTAAGCACCCCCTCCCTTGATGAATGGCCAGGAAACCTCTCCCACCCTGACTAACCTCTGAAACCCTCATGTGGCCACAATGGGCTGATCCTTCTCTGAGAGAGTTTAGTCATTGTCTAAAAGAAATCCATCTGTACACAAGGATGCATTTGAGCAGTATTAACTAACAATGACATAGCTTTATTTGATTCCAAAGTATTGATTGCACAGCTTCAGTGGGGCCCTCTCATCATCATAATCAGAGTCATCATCAGCAGCAGCAGCATCACGGACGGTCACATCACTGGGCGCGTACCACATGCCAGGCGCTGTTCTCAGTGCTTTCCCTGATCTCATTTAAATCTTCCAGTAACCCTGCAAAGCACGAGGCTACCCCATGTTATGGATGAAAAAACTGAGACTCAAAGAGAGGAAAGTGACTTACTTGCCCAAGTAAATCACAGAGGCAGAGGTTGTAGAGCCTTGTAGTTAGGAGCTTAGATATCCTGGGTTTAATCCTGGCTCTGCCACTTACTATTTACTATTTAAACTCTCTGATTTTGGGTTTCCTCACCTGATAATAAGTGGAGTAGTAATAGTACCTACCTCATAGGGGTACTAATGGGGATTAATTAGATATTTTATTTGAAGTGCTTTGCAGAATGTTTGTCTCACAGCACACAATAAATAAGAGTGGATTTATTTAATTTAATAAATGTTTATTGAGTGCCTGCAATGTGCCAGGCACCATTTGAGCACTTAAGATGTAATAACATCTGAGATGTGAGGCATTGGTAGTTCAGTGGTAGAATTCTCACCTTCCGTGTAAGAGACCCAGGTTTGATTCCTGGCCAGTGCGCCTCGTGTACAGTGACCACACATCTGTAAGTGGAGGCTTGCATGTTACTGTGATGCTGAACAGATTTCAGCGGAGCTTCCAGACTAAGACAGACTAGGCAAGAAGGGCCTCGTGATCTACTTTCGAAAATCAGCCAGTGAAGACCCTATGGACCACAATGGTTTGATCTGCAACCAATCATGAGGATGGAGCAGGACCAGGCAGCATTTTGTTCCATTGTGCGCGGGGTTGCCAGGAGTCAGAGGCCAACTTGACAGTAGCTGACGACAACAACAACAATGTACAAGACAGACCACATTCCAAGCCCCATGGAACATAGACTCTTAATAGGAGACAGAATAGGCAAATAAGTGTATAATATAGTGTCAGGTTATAATAGAAGCTATTAAGAAAAAAATAAAACAGGATAAGGGTTAGAGAATGATAGGGAGAAAAGTGATCTCTTGGATAAGATGGTCAGGGAAGACCTCTCTGGGAAGGTGGTATCTGAGCAGTGACCTACAGGGAGGGAGGGAGCCACTCCAAGATATCCTGGAAGAGTGCTGAGGCAGAGGGAATAAGCACTTGCACAGCCCTGAGACTGAATTGAGCTTGATGAGTTCAGGAACCTCATGGAGAACATTGTGGCCAAAGAGCAGGGAGTGATGTGCAGAGAGTGGTGGGAGATGAGGTCAGAAATCAGGTGGGGTTGTCACCCAGAGTAACAGATTTGGATTTTATTCTGCATGTGCTAAAAGTCCGCTGGAGGGGGAGAAAATATTTGCAAATCATACATTTGATAAGGGACTTATAGCTAGAATATATAAAGAACTCTTACAATCCAATAATAAAAAGCAACTGACCCAGTTAAAAACTGGGCAAAGAATCTGAATAGACATTTCTTCAAACATATATAAATGGCCAGTGAGTATACGAAAAGATGCTGTCTTAGTTATCTAGTGCTGCTGTAACAGAAATACCACAAGTGGATGGCTTTAACAAAAGTTTATTCTCTCACAGTCTAGTAGACTAGAAGTCTGAATTCAGGGTGCCAACTCCAGGGAATGGCTTTCTCTCTCTTGTTGGCTCTGGAGGAAGGCCCTTGTCATCAATCTTCCCCTGGTCTAGGAGCTTCTCAGCACAGGAACCTCGGGTCCAAAGGAGACGCTGTGCTCCTGGCATTGCTTTCTTGGTGGTATGAGGTCCCCCTGTCTCTCTGCTTGCTTCTCTCTTTTATATCTCAAAAGACATTGACCCAAGATACAATCTAATCTTGTAGATTGAGTCTTGCCTCATTAACATAACTACCTCTAATCCTGCCTCATTAACATCTAGAGGTAGGATTTGCAACACATAGGAAAATCACATCAGATGACAAAATGGTGGACAATCATACAATACTGGAAATCATGGCCTAGTCAAGTTGATACACACTTTGGGGGACATAATTCAATCCATAACAGATGCTCAGCATCATTAGCCATCAGGAAATGCAAATCCAAACCACAGTGAGACACCACTTCACACCCACTAGGATGGCTAGAATCAAAAACAGAGATAGTAACAAGTGCTATTGAGGATGTGGAGAAATTGGAACCCTCATACATTGCTGGGGGAATGTAAATTGGTACAGCTGCTGTAGAAGACAATCTACCATACAATCTACCATATGACCCAGCAATTCCACTCCTAGGTATATACTCAAGAGAGATGAAAGCATATGTTACACAGAAACTTATACACTGTTGTTCATGGTAGCATTATTCATAATAGCCAAAAAGTGGGAACAACCCAACTTCCCATCAGCTGATGAATGACTAAACAAAATGTTGTGTATTCATATAATGGAATATTCTTCAGCAATAAAAAGGAATGAAGTACTGATACATGCTGCAACATGGATGAACCTTGAAAATACGCTAAGTGAAAGAAACCAGTCACAAAAGGCACATATTATATGGTTCCATTCATATGAAATGTCAAGAATAGGCAAGTCTATAGAGATAGAAAATAGATAAGTGATTGCCTCTCGCTGGGGGAGAAATGGGGAGTGATTGCTAATGGGTATGGGGTGATGAAAATGTTCTAAAACCTATGGGGTGATGATTGCATAACTCTGAATATGCTAAAAATTATTGAATTGTAGACTTTAAAACGATGAATTATATGGTATATAAATTATATCTCAATAATCAATTATGGGTATATGTGTGTGTGCTTATGTATGTGTGTACCAACACACACATACATCTTGTATAGAGAAGGAAAAATAAGAGTCCATTAGAGGGTTTTGAGGGGAGAGTGACACAGCTTGGTTTATATTTTTAGATCATTCTGGCTGCCATGTGGAGAATTGACCATGGGAAGTGTTTCTGTTATCAACTGCTGTGTAACAAACCACTTCTAAAACTGTGTAGTTCAAAATCTTAATCTGTTATTATCTCTGACCCTTCTGTGGGTTGACTAGGTTCAGCTGGCAGTTCTCACTTGAGGTCTGTCATGTAGTTGCAGTCAGGTAGCAGCTGGTTCTGTCATCATCTGAAGACTCCATTGGACTGACTGTCCAAGATGGTTCTTCACTCAAGGATCTGACTCTCAGTGCTCCTCCACATGGCCTCTTTTTTCAGCGGAGTAGCCTTGGCTTCTGATGTGACAGTTTAGGGTTCTAAGGGTCAGGAAGCAAAGAATGCCAGCCCTCTTTAAAGCTAGACTGGAAACTATCACTTCCACCATATTTTACTGGTCAAAGCAGTCACAGGCCCACCCAGATTTAAGGGGATGGAAGACTAGATTCCCCCTCTCAGTGGAGGAGTGACAAACACCTGTAGGGAAAGAAGGAATTGATGGCAGCCATCTTTGGAGAAAACTACCACAGGGCGCTGGAGTAGGAGAAGGAAGACCAGTCAGCTGCTACTGTTGTTATTATCATTATTGTCAATATTTCTAAGACTTCCTTCCAACTCACAACATCTGGCATCATGGACTTCAGGCTGGTGCCGCCCTACCCTGTGAGGGTGGGAGGAAGGCTTTATAGGTGAGCTTTCATTTTGGCCAGCAACTCCCTGGCTTGGTGATAGAGAAGGTGACTTGGCTAGGGTTTTACCCAGGGTTCCAGAGCTGGTTATCTTGAAAACTAGGATAGGATCCAGGTTTCTGAGTTTCCTAGTGCTTGGCCACATGCACTGAGAATCCCACTCTGGGAATTGTATCCTGGGGGCTGAGGAGACTGAGCTGTGGGCCAGCTTTGCCAAACAGCTTAATTCTGTCCATGCAGATTAAATTTGCAGCATCAGGGAGCAGGCTGTCCTCTGAGCCAGGGGCAAGGGAAGAAGCCCAGTACCTGAGAGGTGGGCAGCTGGGGAGGTACTCACAGACCACAGACACTTACTGAACACCTCCTATGAGCCTGGCACATGCTGGGGATAACAGCAGTGATCCACGTGGCCCTGCTCTCGAAGGGTGGTTGTTTGGGTCCTTTGTCCTTTACTGGAGACCTATAGATTGGGCTTCCCTGATGTAGGAAGGAGGCTACTCCAGAGAGAGGTCAGTTGCCTAATGCTTATGTTGAGGTGAAATGTGACTAATACTCAACACATGGCTTATCCGGTAAAGACTGACTACTCTGAGCTCAAGAGTGAGGAATGGAGAAAATAATTTCAAATAAGAGATGAGGGCTCTCTCGCCAGCCTGAGTATGAGCTATCGACAAGCTCCCAAACAGTGAAGAGCATTGGGCAGCACATGCCTATTGATTCCTGGTATGGGTCAAGCATTGTGCTGGGTGCTGAGGGTGGGTGCAGCAGCAATCCTATCCTCTGTGTAGGGTTGGCAAGCAGAAGACATGGGGGATACCACTGCCTCTT